TAAAAATTAAATCCAGATGAATCATAAAATAATGATATTTTTTGATAAGTCAATTAAAACCAATTCTAAAATATCGATATTTCTACAGTTTTAAAAGTTACATCCCTAGTTCTATCCGCCATTACAGGTGACCAAGTGAAGTTTATGTAGGCACGATTTTTTCCTAGTTGTTTCTTATCCATACTCTTATCATATCAGTGATTTCTACTTACTAATTACAGATCAAAAAGCATTTCTCAATTTAAACACACCTACACCTACATAGTTCATAATTGACAAGAGAGGTACGAGTAAGTGATACAATAAGTTTCCCAGTCGATAGGTTGTGAACATCTCAAAGGCTCATAGTACCTTGTTATCCTCCGTAAATGAGATTAGATATGACGTCACGCCTAGTTAAACATAATAACCTATCTGACTGACACACTTTACCTACATTCTAGTGATTCTACGTCAAACATTAGAGAAACTTCGCCTCGGGACTCGGGGAAGACGATAGAGAATAGTAATAGTTTTACTAGACGATATTAGTTTTAATTCGTGAAATGGGTAGCTAATTGTATTTTTATATTCTTTATTAAACTTTTATAATTTTCTGAGTTAGTAAATCTTCTAAACTTTTTACAATCATTTTCTTTCTTTTCATATCTATTGTGTACAATTGAGATGAAATATACATATGTGACTTTTTATCATATTGGATTTGTATAATACAAGTTTCACAATCTTTACACTGGTTTCGCAAAGCCGTGCACTTCGAGGCAGAAAGTTGCAAGTTGAGCCAAGTGCTGCACGACTCTTGTTACAACTTGCAATACTTGTATTCTGCTTATAGAGGTAAAACTGGCAGGTGTATGTATTTATACGTCAAATTAATTCAAATAATTGCTAAATTGGCAAATGAAAATGTAATGCATACTGATAATCTTTTCACTATATTTATGAACATTTGTGGGACATACTAAATTAGTTATTATGTTTTTCAGCTTCCTCACTTAATTATTTGACGCGGTACTCGACTAGTTTCAAGCCATGCTAGAGGACTCATATTCGTTAGTAGCAGTCCTTCATTCATTTATAATGGTGAATGCTACAAGATAACAAGAATACACATCTGTCATTCTTAAAATTGCTGACAGTTAGTAGTAGCTTACATAATCTTTTTAAGTTTTATTTACTATGTAATAATGTAGGATTTTTGTTGATAAATAATTACGTCAAAAAGCCAAAATATTTTACGTAGATTACGATATTTATAATTTGTCTTCAATATATGTATCGCTCTGTATCAACATACACCTGTAAATTATGTTTACCTATTATGAAAGGAGGAAGGCATCTAAGTGAAAACTGGTTTCTTGTTATTATTATTATTAAATATCTAAGTTCTGCGGACGGACTACACATGAAATACTAATAATTTAATGTAAGCTTAAATAATTAGTATTTCATGTGTAGTAGTAATGTCACATTTGATACCAGCCATAAAGACACCGTTATACGTATGTGAGTAAAACTTGTGTTTACTATACCACTTGAAAGTTTAGTGATACTTATAGCTGCCCTCTGAATACCGTAACTGTGCTAATATAGAGGTACTATGTTATTGTGCAACACTGTCATCTTATGTCTCCATGTGTTGAATTCACTCTGGAAATCAGTGTAACGTCATGCTTTCATTTATTATTGCAGTCATTGATATTCCTGAATTGCAAATGAAACAATTTCAATTATTTTAGAAACGAGATCTTTTTTTATAAACATTAATTAGACCAACTTGATGAAATTTTCAAGTGAAAAATGTTCAACGTTTACTAAATCAAAGTTACAGATTAATTAGATATACTTTAATCACTTACCTCGTTAAAGCACGCACATTGATGCAAACCAATTAGTTATTTAAGACAATTGACGCTACACACAATACGTTCGGGTAGAGTGGACTAAGAAAGGGCGCCAACTTTCGCGCATGCGCCCATCAAAATCAGACTAAAAGACCTCCAGTCACGAGGAGTCAGTCTTCGTGGAGACGTCGTATAGAACGGACGTCGCTCGAACAAATAAAAAATACATTTCGCGAGTGTTGAGACTTATAATGATTCGGTTGGTGGTTCGGATTTTAGTTAGGTAGTAGCGTGCGATGCGCGGCTTGCGCGATGTTAGCTTACGTGGTCGTGGTACTGACAGTGTTGGACGTCTGTGTACCGCTGTACCATCACCAGTTCGCGGTCTTCGTCCCTGGTGGGCCAGAAAAGGCTCACGAACTGGCGCATAGACATGGCTTCATTAATCACGGGGAGGTAAGTGTAGATGGGATGCTGCGGACAAGTGATCTATCTTGCGTTGTTTTTCTTTCATTTCTGCGAGGACTCAGAAAAAGCTTATTGTATGGACGTTATTAATGAACTGTTTGGAGTAGGTATTATGTCTCCATTTATTGTAAGAACGATATATAAGTACTTGTTGTGAGATATTAAATTGAGGAAATAATAATTTGTAAAAGAAAAATATTATGTTTCAGATGGCTTTTTGTTATGTTTTAAAGTAATCAACTATGTAGTTCCCTTCGTGTTCATAAACGGTTCAAACAGAATTTCAAGTAGTTCTATTACTCGATGCGGTAATACCGTTTAGATTTAAAGTCTAGATAAAATGCAATAGCTTTAGCGCAGTGCCGGAAACATGAAAGATATGCAGTATTTTCTCAATGGGATAGCAACGGATAGTTGGGAAATACGTGCAAATCTTATTTTTCTTGTTTTCGTACTAACTTGTTCCGAGAAAATTTATTTCCCTCTATCAATAAATATTCAAATAAAATCCTGAAAGTTAATATAACATTAAGTTGTTCGAAATATTATTTTATTTTTCCTATTTACTTTGAAATTTCCTATGTATAAAACAAACATGAATTTTCCTTTTTTATAATGCACATCTACGATGCTGAAACAGAGTACATTCAGAAAGTGTCGGTAATTTTCATAAATTACATACTTCTTATTCATGATAAAAAAATATCAACTTGGAATAAAATTATGCCATTATATATTTCAAACCGGCATACGAATTTAAACCAGTCTCTCAGTTTTGACGAATGAAACGGTCTGGGTAATTCACTGAAGTTGTTCACATTTACAAACTACAAAAGGTTTTACAACTACTGAGTGCAAAATGCAAAAGTTTGTTACATTTCAACTTTCAAGGCAAACTAATCGTCCCTTCAAGGGAAACTTTGTTATTTCATGTAAATACAGTTAGATTTGGGTCACATGTGATTAACGACCCAAACTGCCGCATTTTGGATAAGATTATCCAGAATTAGTTAAAACGATGAGAAATAACATAACTTAAAGAAAATAGCATATAACTTTATCACGATTAACATATTCATATTTTGTTATGAACTTAAAATGTAATTCTAGAACATTTTAAGAGTTATAATATAGGTAAAAGCAGCTTGGTTAAAATGTTTATATTTTCGAGAATAAATATTACACTATTTTAATTCACTGAATGGTATTACAAGTCTTTTTCCCATATACGTCTTAATATATATTTTCTGTCATTTTCCATCATTCATTCGTCTAGAAACAAAATTTCCTTTTTCGATGATAAAATCAGCAGGAAATCGACTCAGTAAATCAACAGAACTTTTAATGACATCTAAATCTTGGGGAATAATTCAAATATTCATAGATGAAATGATCGAAGAGAAAATAATGATATAATCACAGCTATGTTGCCAAGTCACGATTAGATAAGCAAAATAAATACGCCGTCTTACGGTGGCGTGGAACATTCTGTTTGGGCGGCAAAATTATTCCTGGAGATATCTGACTTAGAAACGAACCATAGCATGGTAACTTTACAGTTCTATTTATCGTGCACATTCATTCACCTCTTTTTCGTTTATTTATTGTTACAACAGAATTTTATTAGTATTTCTTCTTGTGATCTTTTTAAAATGACATAAAATGATAAAGAATATAGAATGAATGAATGAAAGAATATAGAATGATAATAATATAGAAGTGATATAAAAATATATCCTATGTAGTAAGATTCACAGTGTTTTAGTTGTGTTTGGTCATAATCTATCTTGTGGAAAATTGTCATTCAGGAACAGGTAATAACTGTATTTCTCTTCGATAGAAACCTAAAGGTATTACTGATTGTCATAATTTGGACTTCACAGAACAAATACCTGTGAAGACTCTTCTAGTTAAATATTAATATAACTGTAGGTATAATGTAGTTACAGTGTAGCAGATGTTTTTCTGCAAAAGTTTCACCCCAAGTTTTACTTCAGGCTTATTATTTAACTTTTAAAGAAAAACATCAGCAAAGTTGTACATTAAATAAACAGTGCTCTTAACTTACAAATGGCGTTGTTTTAAGCAACTGAGGCTCTTCTCTTATTACCAGCTATGGAAATATGTGAGCCTAGCTATTTGGCGCTTAATATTCTAGACTAATTTTGTTTAAACTTTGTTCAGCAGTTTTCATGCGATTTTGTTAGTAAACCGTCTGTAAATGAAAGGCATAACTCTGATGCTTTTGACTATGAAATGGAATATTTTAGTTACAAACTCACGTAAAGGCTGTATAGTAAATTCCTTTGCCGGAGGAGTTGTTTAAAGTAGCGCGATTCCCTTACTCCCTATAGTCGAAATTAAGTGTTTTGAAATGTTCAATTAAATTTTGTATCAGACACCTGTTTGATTCCGTTCCATTTTTTTTTTGTATATTAGTTTTTATTTTTCTTTGTATTTCACTATACCACGTATATAAATCCTTTTACTGTGATTAATAACATAAGTGGATAAAAGTAGGTGTAGACCTACTCCATTTTCTGTAGTTTCGAAGAAAAATGGGCAATCGTATTTTGTTACAATATTGATATAATTGAGCAATACTCATTTATACATCTATACGTATATATTTTCATAGTTTCCACGAACTACTTACTATATATCTTTGCCAATAATTTATATTTTCGTACATCATGTGGGCAGATTAGGAAAATACCCATATGTTCTTGAAGCATAATTAATAATACATAAGTAATATAATACTATACCTACTAGGTATTATGTATTGTTTGGTCCTAATGATTATGATTATAATTATTTATTTATTATTTATCTTTAAATCACACAGGCAAGTGTTACAATAATCCCCACAAAACCGTTGCAAAAGTTTGACTGTGCAGTCGAGTTACTAGGCAGTAGGCATTATAATTAAATGTACCTACTTATAAATATTATACCTACAATAGGTAATATGATTTATTAAAGTCCTATCCCATAGTCATATATTATTGAATTTGTTTCACTGCACATATTATTATCTGCCGGCAGACTACTCAATGGATATGGTATTATCTTTTTTAGTGTTCTATCACTAAAGTAGTTGGTGACTCTGGGTACATTGTCCATTTTTCAAATAATTTCATTGTATAAATAAGTATAATGATTATTAATTAATATTTTACTCGTGATCGTTTAAATCCAGGTTGAACCCGAGTCGCGGTGAAAACCATAATCCGTTTTAATTTCAAATGCCATTTTAAGCCGCGGCAAAAATGACAAAAATCTTAAAGACAAATGACAACATTCGTCCAAAAGGGAGAGGCGAGAGATGATCTTTTCGTGACGTAATCAATTGTTACAGAGGCCTCAAGATAGAGGATTAATGAGAGGATAAATCCCACAATTTATTTTTGGGGTCACCATATTTTTTGTAAAAGAAATGGTTCGTATTTTTAAGTCGCCGGAAATTAATATTTCCGAGAGTCTCGGCTTAATATTATATTTTTTAGAGAAATTAGATTTTCTCCGAAAGTATTTGCATATTACGTTTTTGTCTCATGGGTAGGTGATATGAATATTAAATCAGGTTCCCGACATATCCGTGAATCTCAGACCGATCAGGTAGGCTTTTTTCAAATTAATAGATTCCTGAAGATTGGATTATAATTTGATTTTAAATCCGTTGCTAAATAAATTGGCTATATTATACCTAATAGACAGATAAAGAAAAGATTTTGTGTGGGAAAATCATATCACGTATGTAGCACTTATATGAATTTTCTAGAGAATAACACATTCTAGAAATACACGTGTGTTTACCCGCTCGAGGCTTGGCTGAGCAGCCACACATAACTGTTTGAAGGTCAAAGGTGATGTTAGTGGCACGTGCAAGGATGGGCGTCTTACGTAATATTTACATTAGATGCACATAATTATATAAGGTTTGTGCAAGTAATTAACAATGAATATTCATTTTATATGAGATGCAATTTTACAAAATATAACTGTACAACGTAAAAATGTTTGAAATTCTCTTGAAGCCGAAGGGAAATTAATGATTATTTACAGACAGTATTCTAATTTTCGCAACGCATTACCAAGAACATAATTAAAAAAAGTCTGAAACGCGGTCTTAACGTGACCTCATATTTTATAGTAGCATTTGCAATGAAAGTGGACCAGTCCAACAAAATAAAAACATTTCTATCCTAATAAGTTCAAATAATATGTCAGTGAAACACAATAATACTCTTCAGTGCCTTTCTCACGTGGATTGTTTACGTTAAGATGGGTCCTATTGACACACCAGAAAACAATAGTCTTATGACACAAGCCTCCACGCCACAGACGTCTTGCCAACAATTTCTGGTATAAACTTTATCTCTCTGACACTCCATTGAATTAATGTTCGTGCTGACGTTATCGAGTAGAACTTCATTCTGGAATTAGGAAGTCCTTATTTTATGTCTTTTCTTATGAAGTTATAGTAAAAATATTGTCCTTATCCGACATTATCTATCCTTTTTTGTAATGAAGTCTTTTAAAAGCGAGCAAATTACTTAAAACTTGCTGCGTGCTTGTACCAATTCCTTTTTACTTTACTTAACACATCTACATTTTACTATAATATGGTAGCATTGATGATAGTACTTTTTAACAAAAAAATCTTCTTGAACTCAATGTTGATCTTTGATGAGCTTAGAATTAATAATACATTTCTAGCAGTCGTCACATTTAAAATGTAGATATTTAATGTAGGTACAAAGGCTACGTAGCTGAACTCTATCATATTTAAATTCAATGTTTAGTAATTAACAAGTAGAGCTTATCATGACACATTTGCTATGCTAACATAATTGTGGGCCTACAGTCTGTCGTTATAGTGTGACTTAATTACTTTTAAACCTATAGTCATTTATGACACGCGTACTTGTAATTACAGCTTTAGTATTAGTTCATATTTTATCAGCTATCTAATTTGAATGAAG